CAGCGAGTGTTTTCAAGTTTGGAGTCCCATGAAGGAGCTCTGGATGAAAACAGTTTTTTTGTGTTTACTTTATGATTAAAGTTGTTGCACGTCTGCCTCAAATTAAGCAAGTTTGAGCCACTTGTACATTAAGGTAACAATAAAAAATAAATAAATAAATAACATCAGCGAAGAAACTCGACACAGAGGAACATAAACATCTACTGCCAGCTAGCATATTGGAAGTGTTAATGCAAAGATACAGAAACAGTGCGCAGAAGTATAAATGCAAGGCAACGCGCAAGGTAAGCGCCGTGGGTCACGCCGATTACTCGATGCAGAAGTAAAACCAGGCTTTAGGGTATTTACGTGTCTAAGGAATCGTCTGATTAGTGAACCATAAATTGGATAATGCGGGACCAGCTGCAAGCAATCATAAGCATGTGATCCTCTCGAAATTAATTTATAAATCAACTTCAAAAATTTCCCTTCAGCTTAGTCCATTTATTCATCTCCACAGCGGAATGAACCAACAACATGCGCAGCATGTGTTTTACACAGTGGATGCCCTTCCAGTTGCAACCCAGTACTGGGAAGCACCCATACACACTCATACACTACAGCCAATTTAGCTTATTCAATTGCCCTATAGCATGTGTTGGCAGCTGTCTGCGGTGTCCAGCTACAACTCGGGACACTGTTTAAATTCCTGCTGCGCCACAGAGCGCCATCTAAATAATTAAATTTTAAAAAACATGCCAATGTGTGCGTCTGGTGTGTGTTACTTAAACTGTCATGTGCTTGGCGCATCCGCTGTGTGACCCCCTTAAGGATAAAGTCTGCTTTAGTTTTATGCATCAGTGACTGCAGGATAAAAAACATTACACAGGATGTCAACATTATCCGCACAAAAGCTAAAAAGCATCATGAACATTTTGCTGACAGCTGTTTGTGCCTCACAACAGGTTTTGATCTTTGGATCATTCTATAATGTTAGACTTATTCTTCTATAAAAGTTTGAACTTTGAGAGTGTTTAAACAAGAGGTAAAACTGTGAAAATGTCAATGCCTGTCTGAAAGAAGTGTATAAAGTGTGTAGTAAGGGGTTTTATAGCCTTAAAACATCTATACTATTTGTAAAAATAAAGCTGACTACTTCACGGATTTCACCTTTTGCAGGTTATTTTTAGAACGTAACTCCCTTAAAAAAATAATGAAGGACCAATGTGTTTAATGTTAATGCAAGTGCTGCTTCACTCTTCACTACTTCACTGGTAATTTGTGTCTGTGTGTAAAGTGAATAGTTTAATTAAAAAAAAAAAAAAAAAACACTGAAGCAGAAGATTTTGGAGATTAAATTGTTGTAAACTTTTTTTCAATCTGTAGCTTAGGATAGTTAAGGATAAAAATCCAAACACAAAGTTGAATAAAAATGAATATACCCTAAGGCTGTCTCAGACTACAGGAGTTTTAGCCTGAGTTATGGCCAATTTTCATCTTCTGAGAATCGGAGATGAAATCTTGTCAAAGACATTGATCGGGTCTGATTCTCAGTGCAGATTATCTGGTAATGTGAGCCATTTAGAGATAGAATCTTGCATCTTGTGATCTTCCAAAAAACATATCCGAGCCCCTCCGATCATATCAAACATGTTTGATATCCAGGATTTTAATTCATGCTGATCACAGCTTTGTTGATGTCAGTACCTTGACAATACCCAATGAGAAACCCATGTGCAAGAAGACGGAAGTAACAGAGAATTTGAAACGGCAAAAACAGCAGTATGAATCCGATGGAGTCCAGAAATTGAGGAATTGTGGTAACAACACGGGTGCTTATATAATGTTTCCTCCAGCCTATACCACAACTGTGTAGACAAAGAGTTACCAACCTGAAAACCTGCTTTTGAAAATAATACAACGTCAAAATAGATTTAAATTATATTTATTTTTTTGTAAAAATAAAAAACAAATCTTAGAATATAATGAGTAATAAGAACATCACTGATGTGAAATTCAATGCACATTAAAAAGCATTATATTAAGCCTGAAACAGTGAAGCTTTCAGTTAAGTTTACATTATTTAGCAAATTGATTTTCACTTTAATGAAAATAAATTAAACAAACTAAATTATTGTAAACATTTTAATGAAAAAGGCATGTTTCCTATAGTTTTTAGAGTTAAAGCACTGCCATCTTTGAATATCGCTGTGTCTGATGTCCCAGGGTTGGTTCCGTTCCCTCAGCTGAACAGATACAGTGGAAGAAATGGACTGAACTCGGAGACTAAAGCCTGATTTTACCCAATGTGTGAAGTTTGTGAGCATGGAGCTGGTGAAAATACAAGCATCAGATGTGTGCTCTCTGTATTACGTTGCCTGCCTGGGTTTCAACCATGGTTTCAACAAGGTCCAGTACCAACGGGGGCAGGTCCTTTAACTTTCACTACTTCAGCTGCACACCTCTTTTTGTGTTCCAACCAAACTAAAATCACATGCTAGGTTTTTACGTCTTTTTTATATGTTGTGTTGATCAACTTGACAAGGGAATATCTCCTGACATAATCCACAAATATATGACTTAATAAAGCTTAAAGTCATGTATGATTTTATTTGTTGCATTGGTCTGATATATAACCATTCAAGATAAAAATACTCAGAGCTGTCTTTCGCAATCTGCCAAAATATCAGTGTTTGAATATATTATACACACATTTAAGTAAAGTCATAATACTGCAGTCAGTAATAAAAATACCATCGTTCCAAAAAATCCAAATAATCGCAAGTGTGTATGAATGCGGTTCAGTTACTGGTCTAGTTCAGTCAAGAGCTTCTCAGATCTGTCATATCAGAACAATAAAGTTTCACCCAGTTGAAGGAAGGAAGTATGGCTGCTTTCTTGCCTCCGATATGGCAGGGAAATAGCTGTCACTCTCATTATTATCAAGCTCGAATTCGCTGCTGAAAATGGAAGCGATCCTGGAGCATGTGCTACATAGATAAACACAGCATGTAATTATGGTGAATAGATGTCTGTGGGCTGATTGGCGCCTGCTGAAAGAGGTCAAAAAATGGAAAGGAACGAATCAGGTTGTCCCCGTTTCCTCGGAACAGAACATCCCACACAGGAACTGTTTGTTTGTTACCCATACAACATGCTGAGGCTCACACTGAGAACCAGGATTTAAAACAAAACTAAGCATTGCTGACAGTCAACATGAATGTTACCATATGACAAAAATACTTATTTTATTTATTATTTTGGATTCCACTTATGTCCCAGATTATGCTAGTACATATGAATTACATTGATTTGAAAAGAATACAGTTTATATTTTTGTATTATTTATTATATATGTACAGTAGTTAAAATATAGTCAGCAAAAATATATATTTTTTTGTTTTGTAAAACACTTTTTGGAGAAAAAATAATTAAACACTGTAAAAAGTGATTATTTATTTTACTTAACAAGTGGGTAAAGCTGACTTTACTTAAGGTGAGTAAACATTAATTCTTTTTCTTCTCGGCTTAGTCCCTTTATTAATCTTTATAAAAAGATCTAAAGTGTGTTTCCTACAAAAAGACAAAGCTGGTTATGTTTCACAGCTGTCTTTTTCTTTGTTGTTTTTCGCTCGACATTATGACCACTGCTCCCTTTAAGCCCTCGCAATATGCCTTTAGCCAGGAGAGCTCACGCGGAGCGGAGCTTTCAGTAAGGGACCATCGGAAAAGTGCTTCTTTTTTTTTTTTTTTTTTTGCTTCGCTCAGCGCGAGCTCTCCCAGCTAAACGTATATTGCGAGGGCTTAAGTGTGTGTGTGTGTGTGTGTGTGTTTGCTTGTTTGTTTGGTGCTGTCTATGTTTGTGTATGAGTTTGAATGAGAGACAGTGTGGTGCTGTGTGTCTGTGTGTTTATACAGACAGCTTGTTATAGCCTCCCCCCAAAATAAAACAATGTGTATAGAAAGCATCGTCAATGCACCGTGATGCACCGAGATATCGAATTGAACCGAATTAATGGCATGATAATCGTAACCGAACCGAGCCGTGAGACCAGTATAAGTTTACACCTCTAGTGCAAATGCATTTGCTTTTTAAACAGCGTGGTGCAAAACGTCAATACAACTCTTGAGCCAAGCTTAAACTAGCAAACAACTATTGCGTTGCGCCTTGCGCCGCATTGCGCTGGGTGTAGGATAGGGCCCATTCTCTTAAAAGAGGCAAGTTGACTTAAAAAAATAATAATAATAATAATTAAATAAAACTTGAGTAAATCTGTTGTCTCAAAACAGCAAGTTGACTTAACTTAAAAAGCTGAGTAAAATGTTACCTTAAAAGCAGCAAGTTGACTTTACTTACAAAAGTGAGCCAACATATAGCCTTAAAAGCAGCAAGTTGACTTTACTTAAAAAAGTGAAGAAACACTTTACTCTACTAAAAAGGTGAGTTAAGAAATGGCTTTAAAAGCAGCAGGTTGATTTTTCTTAAAAAAGTGAGCAAACACAGTGCCTTTAAAGCGGCAATTTGACTTTACTTAAAAAAGTGAGTAAAAGCGGTGAGAGCATCAAAGTAGCTGGAAGTCCTTAATTTTCAATGGGAAATATATATATATATATATATATATATATATATATATATATATATATATATATATATATATAAGAAAAAAAAACATATATATATATATTTTTTTCTTTTTTTTTTTTTCTTATCTTTAAAAAAGCTGGAATCTCAAGCCACAATAAATAAATATATATTCAGAATATGTCAAACACATGAACGCATTGAATAATTAAATGGAGCAAAGCCACACCACATGCAACTTGATCTTCTATTGTTAAATGAATTTAAAAAAAAGTGTGCAACATTTTTACGCTAGAAAGCATGTTTTATGAGGGGATGTAGCTGATATAATATTCTGCAAAGGCACCTTTAATATGAGATCAATGTAGCAAATTTTGAAGCTCTCACTGCTGAAGGTGATGGCAGACAGCGATGTTGCCAGACTGGCCAGAGCGAACTTTGACGGTCTCACGAGATTCAGCGTGAACGCACAGTTAAAAGTGGCAAGTGTGTAAACAGATTGCCTTAAAAGCGGCAAGTTGACTTTCCTTAAAACAGTGAGCAAACATGTTGCATTAAAAGTGACAACACTGTAAAAAAAGTTATTGCTTTTTAGTTGTTTTTAGTTGAATCAAATTAACATTTTTAGTTATTTCAACTTACATCAATCAAATTGACAACATTTTAAGTTAAACTTCGTATAACTTAACTTCGTATAAGTTAAATTAACATAATAATTATGCATACAGTTCATTTACTTAAAAAAATAAGGCAAAGTGTTTACTTTAAGTAAAGTCAACTAATCATTTTAAAATCAACAGGGTAACTCACTAATTTTAAGTAGAGCCAACTCATCTATATTTTTCAGAGTATTTATGCAGCTTGAAGTCTAATGTTTGAGAAAATAAAAGCAATAATTCTATCACTAACTTCATCAATTCTTTCACTTTTTGATTTGTATTTTTTTATTTCTATTTTTACCATATAGCAGAAATTAAGAAAATAAAAAAAAGACTATTGATAATAATATATAAATAGCATTAGGGCAATTTATCTTCATTCTTGCACACTTATCTTCATTTATTTTTTTATTTATTTTTCTCCATGACTCAAATTTGTTAGACATTTTCAATCAATAGAGGTGTCACACTGAAGGATAAGAACATGAATAATCATTATATAAATGTATATATAAAGACATAACAAACATTATAGTGTATTATAATAACAGTTATAGCTACATAATAATACAAATTATGATAGTGTTATTAATACTCCTAACTTAAAGCTATCAACGACAGTGAAGATGTGAAGTTACGTCAACAACCCAGCAGCATTCAGATCTGCGCAAAGTTTCATATAGGCTGCAAAAACACAAGTGCATCACTCTCCCTGAGCGTTTCTACTGAAAATGATAATAACAGCAATTCTGCAGACAGAGTTGGCCAATTTTCCATTTATGTTTTCTTTTGTGAGGGGACTGAGTAGCTGTCATTTTCATGAAGTGCCATTGCGAGTCTAAATTCAAACACTCCATTGCCCAGAGGACGCTGAACTCTGGCTCTTCACTCCAAAAGCGGCTTTAAACACATCATTCTGAAAGCGAGAGGAACTGCACAGATAAACATGTTCTTTATGATGAGTATTATTGTCTTGTTTTGAAGTGAAAATAGATGTTGAGAAGTTGGGATCACATGCTTAGACAAATACTACTTTTTTTTAAAAAGACATTGTTTATTTGAAAAACTGTTTAAAAGTGTATATATATATATATATATATATATATATATATATGGGCGAGGCAGTGGCGCAGTAGGTAGTGCTGTTGAATCACAGCAAGAAGGTTGCTGGGTCGCTGGTTCGAACCTCGGCTCAGTTGGCGTTTCTGTGTGGAGTTTGCATGTTCTCCCTGCCTTCGCGTAGGTTTCCTCCAGGTGCTCCGGTTCCCCACACAGTCCAAAGACATGCGGTACAGATGAATTGGGTGGGCTGGGTTGTCCGTAGTGTGTGTGTGTGAATGTGTGTGTGGATGTTTCCCAGAGAAGGGGTTCCGGCTGGAAGGGCATCCGCTGCATAAAAACTTTTTGGGTGAGTTGGCGGTTCATTCCGCTGTGGCGACCCCCGGATTAATAAAGAGACTAAGCCGACAAGAAAATGAATAGTTGAAGTCAGAATTATTAGCCCCCTTCACATTTTTTTCTTCTTTTTTAAATATTTTCCAAATGGTGTTTAACAGAGCAAGGAAATGTTCACAGTATGTCTGATAATTTTTTTTTTTTTCTGGAGAAAGTCTTATTTGTTTTATTTCGGCTAGAATAAAAGCAGTTATTAATTTTTTAAAAAACATTTTTGGGACAAAATTATTAGCTCCTTTAAGCTTTTATATATATATATATA